AGAAAAAAACTGGCTAGGCAGTTAGGGTAAAAAGACCCCAAAGAAATGTAGCAAGTTTTTTGGATAAAAGTTAAAATGTCCTTGGTCCTGTTAGCAACATACCCTGTTCAAAAATGTCAAAAGTATTTGGGAGCTTGTATCAAATCCTTAAAAGATTTTAGGGTTACCTCTTCAGACTGGGGAATAGAGGGGAGGGAGTGGGGATGGATTTGATCAAAACACCTTATATTCACGTATGAAATTCTCAAAGTTTTTGTAAAAGTTAAAAAAAAAATGCATTTTAAATCCCAGCACTCGGGAGGCATTTGGGAGCTTGTATCAAATCCTTAAAAGATTTTAGGGTTACCTCTTCAGACTGGGGAATAGAGGGGAGGGAGTGGGGATGGATTTGATCAAAACACCTTATATTCACGTATGAAATTCTCAAAGTTTTTGTAAAAGTTAAAAAAAAAATGCATTTTAAATCCCAGCACTCGGGAGGCATGGATTCTTCCAGAACTATCTGCCTTCTGTTTCATCACTAATTTAACTTTCTACTCCCTTTACACTATTTTCTGATCTCTATCGTAACTAAAAAACACAAAAAAAAAAAAAAAAAATTAAAAAACTACAACCTTCTACAGCCTCTTTGTATCTCTGTGTTTTGAAGCAGGAAGTTTGTGGCTGTGTTTGGCAAATGTGCATTAGAGGGTATACTTGTACTTGTGTGGTTGCAGATCAAGTAACAGATCTGAGAAGCCTGGGTTTGGATGTCTGCATCCTGTGACTTGACAAGACTAACAGGCTCCTTTTTCTTATTTACCTACTTAAAAAAATATTTTATTCAGTATTTTTATTTTATGTGTATGAGTGTATTTCCTGCATGTATGTGAGTGCACCCATGTCTTGCAATGCCACGGAGGTCAGAAGAGGGCTTCGGATTCCCCTGGAACTGGGGTTAATGAAGGTTCATAGCTGCCATGTGGGTGCTGGGAATCAAACCCGGGTCCTCTGCTAGAGCAGTCAGTGTTCTTAACCGCTGAACCATCTCTCTAACCCCCTTATTTACCTACTTTAAGAAAATCCTAGTGCAAAATCCACAAATACCAGGCTTTCTCAGCTAAAAAGGACTGTTGGAGACCATCTAGCTTAAGACTCTTAATCACAGAGGAGGAAAGTAATTTAGAGGTTTGCCCAAAGCCATAGGAGACCAGGACTAACAACTGTGTTTTTAATTCCAACCCCATTGTATCCAAACACAGCTGCCTGACTCTGCATCTACCATTTAAGCAACCTGTTTCACCTGTTTAACACCTGTGACACCAGCTTCTCTAGTGCTGATTCAGACTTCTGCTTTGTCCTGCAGTGACCAGACAGAGAGTGCTCTGAGTCTGCTTTCCTGCTGAACTGCCTTTGGCAAGTGAGAGTCTTCCTTTCCAACTCCAGTTCAGCAGGAAGACCAGGGAGGCATTGCCAGTGCCCACACGAGAGGCAGGCTGTTTGTCCCACATCCATCTTCACTACTTCTCTCTTGCCTCTTAGCTGTGTCTTTCCTCAAACTCCATGGCTGTGCTGTTTGCTAGGAAAGAAAATCCAGGAGGAGGAACAGGTTTTGAAAGAAGATGAAAATCTCTCAGATGAGAGGATGCCATCAGCTGACCTGTTCTGGGGATCCTTAATATTAGCAGAGTGTCCACATATAGAGTGCCACATTCAACTCAACTGTGGGAAGTATTATGTTTCAACTTCAAAAACATAAAAGCCTGAGGCTCAGAGTTTATGT